TTCACATAGTTTGGTTTTTGTATTTTTTTTATTGTGGCGAGAGATACATAACATAAATTCATCATTTTAACCATTTTGAGTGTACAGTTCAGTGGTATTAAGTGCATTCGCCATGTTGTGCAACCATCACCAGCATCCATTTCCGGAAATTTTTCATCATCCCAAACAGAAACTCTGTACTCATTAAACAATAACTCCCCATCCTCCTTTAACTCCCCATTCTCCTTTCCCCTCAGGCCCTGGTAACCTCTAATCTACTGTCTCAATGAATTTAACTATTCTACTGCCTCATGTAAAGGGAATTATACAGTATATGTCCTTTTATGCCTGGTTTATTTCACTTAGCATAATGACTGCAAGACTTATTCATGTTGCAGCATGTATCAGAACTGTGTTCCTTTTTAAGGCTGAATAATATTGCACTGGATGGATATACCACATTTTGTTTATCCATTTTATTGTCGATACACATTTGGGTTGTTTCTACCTTTTGGCTATTGTGAATAATGCTGCTATGAACTTTCCTACCCCTGCTGGGTGGCTGTCTTCCACTACTTCATTCCCAAGGCACAGGACTTTGATGAGAGCATACATTAACTTCTGAATTTTATTTGTTTTTGCCACGTGTATTTACGAGGGGTACTAAATAACGCACAGACTCAGCGACTCTAACTACACAGTAAAAGATAAGTCTCTGAGGCTGAAAGAACTTCTTTCTTTTATATAACAGGATCTATGGTATTAGCATATTTTTAACATGTCAACAATTAAAAATGGCTTGTATAAAAGGATAGAAAAAGCAGAAGTTGAAAATGCAAATTGAAATTGGAGAACCCCAATAAGCAAACTGTAAACTTTACATCTGTAGAACACATATCTCCACTGTGGAGATGGAAACAGCAAATTATTATAACACTATTTAATATGGTTTTTTTTTAGTTTATTTATTTATCTTTAGAGGGGAAAGGAAGGAGAGAGGGAGAGAAATATCAATGTATGGTTGCCTCTCATGTGTCCCCTGCTGGGAACTGGCCTGCAACCCAGGCATGTGCCCTGACTGGGAATTGAACTGCGATCCTCTGGTTCGTAGGCCCGTGCTCAATCCACTGAGCTACACCGGCCAGGGCTATTTAATAAGTTTTTAAAAGGCCAAATTGTAAACCTCAAAAAAAATGTCTTTCCTCATGATTCACTTGATGGCCATGCCCCATCACATGCCTTATAGCTACTCTGAGATTTTAACTTATTAATTAGTTGTACAATTATTTGTTTACTGTTGTTCGCATGAGTCAAACTGCCGGTGACTAACTGCCATGCTATATTGCTTTTCTAAGTATCACGATGACAGAATTCATAAGGCTTGCTCTTACCAGGATTAGAAAAACACCTATTTTCACTTCCTTTTTTTTTCCCTGTCCTGGTTGGCACTCTAACTCCACATTAGTTTGAGGTGGGGTTTGGGAGCATGGGAAGCACCATTACACAGATGCTCCCTCTGTGTTTGCTTCGTAGATGAAATCAAGATCTGTGAGAATCTGCACATGCAAAAGTGCATGCTGTTGTCTTAAATCTCCCATTTCCTCATGCCCTTGATTTTTAGGGCCTGGCGATTTAACATAAATTATAGTCTATGGCAGTGACAGGGAATTAAAATATGGAAAAGATCATACATGTTTCCTGATCTAATCATAAGACCATGTTCTTCCTTTAGCAATTTATTCATTTCTTATTTTAAAAAATAGTCTCTTTCATTGAGATTTAGTGGTCACACATTCCTAACTAGAAAAAAAAGAAACAATTTCCATCTTGAAAAAATTAATATAATGAATCCAGGAGAAAAAAATATATTGTTTTGGTGTCTCTTCTGTAGGAGATTTGGTTCCTCGCTTTTCTATCAACTGAGATCAAGCATAATGTAGTGACCAATGGAAAACAGATTCATTTCCTTCCTGGATAAAAAAATATAACTCAAATTTATGCAAAACTTATTGCATGGATGTTGACACTATATTTCTTTGATAATAAAAAGACAGTACATATGACAAGATTTTACATTTTACTGAATGAAATCACAGTTGATTAAAAATGCTGAATTATTTTTATCTTATGCAAACATATTTTATTGTTGTGCAAGATTGCCCTCTTGTGTTTTCTCTAGTTAGGTCATTATTATTTTTATCAATTTAACATTCAGCTTTTAACTTTTGCACTTAAAACTAACTCACTACTAAATGAACTACAAAGCTGTACATTCAAAACCACACAGACCGTAAGTTAATGTTCGTGTCTGGGCTCATGGTACAACTTTATTCTTTTAAATCTCAGAATTAATTTATAAAATGCTATGGCTTAAAGTTAAGAAAAAGCAAACTCAAACAGACATAAATACATAAAGAAAAATTTAGAATAATGTCAAGGAACACTAAAACCTTGGTACTAACTGCCTATATTACCAAGTAATAGAGGATGCGGCCAATTAATCTATTAGTATAGGTTGGTTTAATATCCTTGTAATCAGTTTCTTCCTTTACCTTACTTAATTATTATGGGTATATGAAAACACAATTAACATTTTAAATTATTTTGAAAAACATTCCTTATTTATTAAGTTAGCAAAGTTTTTTTTTAATGTTGCCTAATTCAAACAGGTACCGTCAAATGTTGCTGGTAATAATGTAAACTTGATACACATTTCTGTAAGTCAAATTGGCAGTATATTAAAAAAGGATTATTAGGTTTACTTCTAGGAATTTATCTCAAGAGTGCAATCCTAAGTACCCAAAGAATTCTATGCCAAAACTGCTCATCATAGCATAATTTATAGCACAAACATCAGTAACAACCTAAATATAGCCATGTGTTGAATTAGATTGGAATACAATCATACTGTGGAATCTTTCACAACTATTAAAATTTTAATATTTAAAATAACATTTTCCTATGTGACAATTTTAAGTTTTTAAAAATCTGGACTAAAATGAAATGTCACCAAATATAGTGGTTGTCATTTGGGAGTGGAACTATGATGGGGTTTTTTTTTCTCTATTTTTGACTTGTCTATAGTTTTCATGTTGTCTATGAATCACTGGTATAATAGAAGAAGTCCCCATGTTCCTAACATCACCAGAATCCAGGTAGTGCCCTCTGTATAGAAATCAGGAATTCTCGGTGGGTTTTCTACGCAAGCTCAGAAAGCTTTTGTAAAGAAAACCAGGACTTCAGCAACTAGGTCATGGTAGAGCATCCGGATGAGTGATTGTGGGAAAGTGGAGGGGCCCTAGGTCACAAAAAGAGTGGGAAAGGTCCTTAGAATGGATACTTATTCTCCCAAATCTTTATTCTTTGAAAGAAGAAGAAACAGGTGATATAACAGAGCAACAACTACTTATTAAATGCTGAATACTTTAGGTTGGTTGAAAGGATTAGAAGTTAAATGTGATAAATGGCTGAATGCCAAGGATAGTTAACAGAAGTTGACCTCCAGCCATCCTGTAGGACTTCCTACGCTAGATTTGTAGCTAATGAGCCAGTCTTCCTAGCTACATTTCTGCAACATCCCTTGTATCCCTTTAACCTCCATCTCCATCCATTTTCCATACTTCAGAGAGGGTGATCTTTTCAAAGAGCAAAGCTTCAACAGATTCCCAGTGCCCTGTGGATGAACTAAACTTTTCATGGTGGCCGACAAGGCCTTTAATGATCTGACTTCGTCTTACTTCTGTGGTTCCCTTCTGCTTCCCTCACTCTGCCTTCCAGGCTTCTGATCTCCACCAGGCTTTGCCTCTGGTATACTCTCCAGTGGGACCCGCTCTGTCTCTAACTCCTGCTTCCTTTTCAAGTCTCTGTTCAAACACTTGCCTTCACTGGGAAAACTTAGCTGCCACCACCATATGCACCCATCGAAATCGCTGCTTTCCGTATCACATGTCTTACTATATGTTATTAAATTCTCTGGTTTAGTTGTCCTCATCTGGACTGGAGGCTCTGGGAGGGAAAGGGCTAAGTAAGCCTGATTCACTTCAGTACTTCAAAATGCCTAACAGGGGAGCAACAGATGTTTACTTAAAGAATGAATAAATGGATGAATAAATTTCACTTCCCCTGAACTTTCTTTAAAGAGGTATTCTGATGCAAATGCATATCGAAATTAATTAAGGTAAGGGATACACATTCTGATGGTGGTAGTCCTGGAGTGCTGTGAGTTCTCCATTCCCCACTGAGGTCCTAACTCCTGTTTTCGGTTAACAGATATGTGTATATGTGTGTATATATTTCAGAAGATTTTTCATATTATTTTTCAAGCCTCTCATGGAAAAAATTTCTGAGTTATTGACCAATTGTTTCTAATCCTTAAAAAATAATGACATCTTCATTTAACAATAGGGGAGTAAATACACTGTAATTTATAAAATAATTATAAAAATCTTTAAAGACATGGTAAAATAATATCATGCTATTATTAATAACAATATCATGGTAAGGTTTTTTTAAGTATACAACTACATATACAAAATAAGCTACTATCTCCCACATGAAAAAAATGCATGTATTATATATTTACATAATAAAAATATTGAAAGGAAATGCATTAAAAATATTTTTTGATTATTTCTGAAGGTCATTTCTACCTTAAACTTTTCAGTATTTCTATTTAGAATAAACATGTATTACTTTTGTTAAAACATGAAGCATTATCAAAAACTCTTTATAATAAGATTAATTCCTTAATGTATAGGCAGTTATCCCAAAAATTGTTTTAAGACTAAAGGATTATTTCATGAATATTTTTCAGAAAGCACATACATATTTTAAAATATTTTATACTGAATAGATTTAGTAATGCAATGACCTTTAAGGCAGATGCTACTAGAAGACTATAATCCAGCAACTATTCAACTAGAAACTATAACTATCTTGAATGTGACTTGTCAAATATCCTTATGTTTAGAGTTTTTCATATTTCTCAAGAGAAGACAATTTTATTAAAGAGTATTTTGTGGATCCTTTTATAGTTTATAAGCGTAATGATTGGGTGTTCATGCTCTTGTGTGACATGCGTCTCCCATAAACCTTGTTACAACATCGGCACATTGCCCATCTGACATAAAAAAAAATAACTAAAATAAAGAGTATTTTGTGAAATGGTTTTCAAAGAAAATTAATGTATTTTATTATGTCTAGTACAAAAAAATGACATTTTTAAAAAGCCCTGAAGGATAGGCTACAGGCAATCAGCTAACTGTAGTTGGTCAAAGTGGACTGGGGAGAGGCGGCCTTGGCCAGAATTACCTCTTGAAACAGGCCAAAAGCAGCAGCTCAGACTGCTAGTCTGGGAAAATCCCTCACCTGCACCACCATCTCAATAGATCTAGGAAGTTGCTTTTTCTTTTGCTTAACAATAGGTATAGTGATAAGCAAAATTGCCCTCCTCCAAATCTCCCTGAAGTGCAAAAAGACTAAGAAGATCAAAGGAACCATTAGCCACTCCCTGAACTTCAAAGGTTTATCCTATGGGAACTTTGAGAAGCTGCTGCGAGTTTACAGGTTACTCACAGACTTCCATTACAGTCTATAAATATAACATTACAAATACCTTGATTACCACGTTCCTTTTATCTCCCTTCTATGGTTGCATTGAAGGTTCTAGAGGTTCGTACACAGACTGAGAAACCAATCCCAGTGCATCATGACCAGACCCCATACAGCCCCAATGAACGCTGAAGCACCATTCCTGGTGTGACGTTCTTTCTGTGCTTTCTGAACCTAGCTTTTTAATGTCTTGATTGTTTCTGTATTTTCTCACTCAGAAAAAAAGTAATAAAACAAGCATTTTTATTTCACATAGTTTGTGTTTTAATGTGTTATCAAAGTCTACAAAATCCTTTCCTGGACTGGATGTACAGACTCAGTCCCCATGATGATGAAACTGTTTCTTCGCTAATGTACTTCATTCGGGCTGTGGTGACTTTTATAGCCCAGAAACTCCAGTTGGTCGTGTGTATGTAGACTGTGGTGCTGTCATTGAACACACTGCCTCAAAGTGTTCATTTTAATAATAAAAAGTGCATCTGTAAGCAACTACTTTAAGCAAAAGACCCTAGAAGACACGACTAGACCCTTGAGACTCTAGAAGACACTTTTATCATTTCCGGTGATAAGAAGTCGTGTATAAATAAACTGGTTTCGAGGCATTTACACTGAGAGAGATCTACTATCTGAAAAGATGTAGAGCAAGGCCAACCTCAGAGTCATACACTCAGCTACCGGCTAAAAATGGAGGAAGACAGAAATCCCACCCTTAAAAGGCTTCCATTCTAGAAGAAGCTGCAGGTGAGCAAAAAAAGTGCTATAAACAAGTATCCTCATGGAAATCCAAAGCACTCGCAGCATGGAAAAGCCAGTTTTGTAAGTAGTGAGAAGGAGTGAGTGTGTGTGTGTGGGTGGGGAGGGAGACTGACCAGGTGTGGTGGGGGTGATGATTTCAAGGAGCAGTAGCAGCATGAGCACAGACACAGAGGCCAGAAATCATCTTGCACATTTTGGGAACTACAAGAAGTAGGTTGATTCAAACTTCATTCATCCATATACATAATGATTATTAATTGAATTCTTTCAGTTAGAGTTGTGAATGGCAAAAATAACTTGTGCTTCAAGGTAAGATCATCAAAAGGACCTTGTTTAGCCCTGGCTGGTGTGGTTCAGTGGATTGAGTGCTGGCCTGTGAACTGAAAAGCTGCCCGTTCAACTCCCAGCTAGGGCACGTGCCTGGGTTGTGGGCTGGGTCTCCAGTTGGGGGTGCGTGAGGGAGAAACAACCAATCTATGTTTCTCTTGCACATCCATGTTTCTCTTCCTCTCTTTTTTCCTTCCTTCCCCTCTCTTTGAAACTAAATAAACAAAAATTTAAAAAGAGAGGACCTTGTTTATGCAGCGAACATAGAATGTAGTCCTCCCAGAATCCACCCCCATTCTTTCTAACAGAAACTTAATGCTACTTAGTATACACCTCTTCCCTACACACCTATATGCCTCCAAAAGAAGCTCGCCCATGCTTAGCCCCAGGTAGCCTAAATGGGGATATGCTTAGTTTCTTTCTAGTGACTGAGTCAGGAATGGCATATGACTAATTCTGACTATTGAGACACTGAGAGAAGTTTGCTAGAGGTTCCTAGGAAAGCGACTCATATAAGTCACTGTAGGCCTCTCCTTTTCTCTCACTGAGCAAGAATCAAGAAGCACATAGCTCTCTGCCCTGACTGGTGTGGCTCAGCGGCTAGGTGTGGCCCTACAAACAGAAAGGTGGCTGGTTGGATTCCTGGTCAGGACACATGCCTAGGCTGTAGGCCAGGTCCCTGATTGATCTTGCTGTCCCTTTCATTCTCCCTCTCTTCACCTTCTCTCTTGAAAATATATATAAATAAATAAAACATTTTTTAAAAAGAGAGAAACAACATAGCTCCAAATGCTTACGGCAATCATATTAATAATACGAGGGAAACCAGCTTTAGGATGGAGCTGACTCTACAAATGGCAGGAGAGAGAAAAAACCTGGGTTCTCAATATTCTCACTGAACCAACTAGCCCTGAACTTCACACTACCTCTGGTAGTGTTTTACATGGCCTAATTTACTCCCTGATTTTTTTAAAAGTTAGATTGCATTAGTTGTCCTGTTGTTTGTGTCCAAAACACCCTAACCAAAGTTTAGGTTTTACTAGGCAATGGGTTGTCGACGAAGATGTTTAAGCAGGAGACTGACATCATCAGTTTGCACTTTATGAGAAAAGCAGTGGCAGAAATGCTGAGGATGGATAGACAGGATGAGGGACTTGCTGCCATATATGAAAGGCTTACTCTGCACTTTGTAATAAACATTTTTCTTTATTAAATCATTTAACCCTTCCAAAATCCTATGAAGCATGTAATAGTATCCACATTCGATAAAAGGCATCTGAAGCCCAGAGACATGAAGTTGTCCAAGAACACGAAGCTACTAAGTGACAATTTCATTATAGACAGTCCTTCATATATACATGTTAGAAGCAGCTCATCTCACTCTCAGCCTTAAATAGGCCTACTTGATATGAGTAAACCCAGCCCTCGTCTAGTGATTGCCTCAGAAATAGGCTGGTGACCCAACTCTGGTCTGGCTTCTAACCACAGATTCATACTGTACACTTCATAGGGTTATTATGAGAAGTAATGAGCTATTGCTTATGACATACTAATGTCTGATAGGCCCACATTAAATGCTAACTATTACTATTATGATTACAGACTACAATTATCAAGAAAAACTGAGAAGAAATATTGAGAGAAGGAAAGCAATAGAGAGTGGTATAACAGAAGCCCTGGGAAGAGTTTCCAGAAAGGGCAGACCAGGATCAAATGCCATGGGGGAGTGAAGTGACAGGAAAGCTAAAGAGAGTAATGGGTCCAGCCTTTGGGACATAATGAGTGGCTTTTGCCAGAGTGGTGTTAGTGAAAATGACGTGGCAGCCAACAGACTGGTTGAAGAGAGGACTTGCAGTGAGTGGAGACGGTGGCTACCTACTGCAGATTAACAGTTTCACTGTGATGGAAAGGGGAGGAAGAAAGGATGGTAGCAGAAGTTTTTGGATGGAGTACCTTTATAAACTCTGAGGCAGTAGCTAGCAAAGGTACTGTTGAAAATTCAAGAGAGAAACGATGATGGGACAAGTCCCAAAGGAAAATGAAAAGAGATGGCTTCAAGCCCAGAGGCAGAGGGAAGCCTTAGTCTTGAAGAATCAGGCCATCTATCCTCCTCTAAGACGCACTGGGGAGGGAGGGAGGTGTAAGTTCAGATACAGATGCATTTGTAAGTATGGGGAAGGAGTGGAAGTTGAGAGAGTGTACCTATGGAACACTTCATTCTTCTTAGTGAAATGAAGGCAGGGTCCTCTGCTGGGAGGGGGAGTGTGCAGCACACTGCAGTCTGGAATAGTCGCCCTGGGGTGAAGTTAGCCTGAAAGACAGATTAAAGAATTCTAGAGTCCCGACCGCTATGGCATAGTTAAGTTGGAGACCACGAATTTCCAAAGGCTTTAACCATGTAGGAATATGATTTTCTTCAGTACCACTCATAAACCCTGGTGGAGATAGGAAAATCACCCTGTTATGAAGGTAAGTGTGAGGTTAAAAGTAATGGAAATGAGGACCATTTGGCCATAGTTTTCGCTGGTTCCTCATATTCTCCAAAGGCCTCAGTTCTACAAACAAAATCTGTGCATATAATTGGGACTGCCAATCACTGTTCTCAAAGGAAAAGAAGGTTAAAAAACACAGTCACACCCAAAAATTCAAAGGGAAGAAGAATATTGTTAATTAAAGCATTTTACTTAGGAATCTCACAGTGTCCCAGGATTGCAGGTAGGAAAACAATATACTAATATTCAGTCTTTGATTAAATTGTATGGCCCTCAAATTTGATGTATGCTCTTTCTTTCATTTAGGATAAAACAAAATTAAGGGGACTCATATTCAATGCTTTATGTATAATAGATAGGATAAATAAGAACCACACGGCATGTAAAATAAAACTACACAAATATTTAAATTATTCAGTATGTGCGCCTATGCCACATAACAGGTCATCCTGCTGAGTCAAAGGAACTTAAAACGTCTCTCCTTTATTAATGTCTTCATTCCTATGGTTACCTTTCAGGTAAGTACACAGCTAGGTTTCCCCTCTAAACCTAGCCAATAAGAGAAAAATGTTAGGTTGTTAGAAAGAATTAGGAAGGGAATTTTCTCCTTCCAAGCTGACTTTAGGAAGTTGTTTTCGAATTTTGTTTTTGAAATTGCTATTGGTTATTTTAATTGATTTAATGAGGAGTTATTTCTTTTTTTCTGTAACAGAGGGGAAGGGGAGGGAGAAGGAGGAGGAGAGAACTATCAAGGATCCTCTAGCACAGGCCCTGGCCAGGGACCAAACCTGCAACCAAGGTATGTGCCCTAGCCAGGAATCGAAACTGGGAATTTTTTCTTTGTGGAATGACACCCAACCAACTGAGCCACACCACTCAGGGAGAGGAGTTATTTCTTCTAAAAAAATTAAGGTGTGTCCTTCTGATGTTCAAAAACAGAACAAAGACAATAGTAAAAAAAGTGACTATGGCATCATAAAGTATTACAAAGCAATGAACATATCAATCACACACGCAGAGAACATCATTGGTTACACTTTACCTGCTCTGAGACCACTTGTTCCTATGAAGTTATTGCTCATGAGACACAGTTGTCTTTTCAGAGTCTCATTAGAAGTAAATAAACCTAAATCATGAGTGAACTAATCTCATTTCTATTCCTAAAACAATGCTACCATCATATCAGCATATTACTCATAAATATGAGTAAATAAGAAAAGATTTTGCCTTGGCTGGTGTAGCTCAGTGGATTGATAGCGGGCTTCAAACCAGAGGCTCCCCAGTTGATTCCCAGTCAGGGCACATGCCTGGGTTGCGGGCCAGGTCCCCAGTGGGGGCCACATGAGAGGCAACCACACACTGATGTTTCTCTCACTTTCTTTCCCTTCCCCTCTCTCTAAAAATAAATAAATTTTAAAAATTTTTAAAAAGAAAAGATTTCGTAAATATAAGTGCAGATTTCTTAGAGATGTCATCTGACTTGGAAGATCATTATTGGAATTTTAATACTGGGATATAAAGTGGAGTCACCGGAACTTAGATATCAGAATGCTTATTAGCTTAGTAATTAGTAAGGAGGTCAGAATTTACTTTGGTTAATTATAAATATCCTGGACTGCTGAATGAGAGATTAGCATTAATTCAGTAAAAAAAACTTAAGCTCCCGTTTATGTGAATACAAAGTGAAGAAGACTCAGTCCCTGACCTCAAGGAGGTCTTTATAACTCTCGTCTTTCTGAAAATAACTTTGTGACATCAGGTCAGCTACTTAGTGTGAGAAAGCTCAATGCCCAGTTACAATACAGAAAGAATGTGAAGACCTGCCACCACTCATTCATTACAATAGAGTCACATCTTTCTATTGACAAGGTTATATTCCACAGTGAGTGACAGACATTTCTCCAAGTAAAAATTACCCTTAAACATGTCCTAATAAGTTGTGTAGGGCCATCTTGATCAGTTTTTCCTGCATGACTTGAACAGATTGTTTCTTTTGCTGAACATGCAGGTTACATTTAGAAACCATGTCTTTTGAAAAATAAGTATATTTAAACCATGTATAGACATTTGGTAATGAGTTTGTTTTGTATTTTTTATAAACCATAAATGGTATCGCATTGTACTTAGTATGCATCTCATTTATTTTACCCCCTTAAGGCATAAGCTCCTGTGGCAAACTTGTATTTTCCAAAAATGGCCACAGCAATATTTCTGGTCTCACACACTCTTTAAGAACTTTGCCTCTTCCCTATCAAGAGGTAGGGTCCATTTCCCTTCCTCTTAAACCTGAATGAGGCTCTGTAGTAGCATGGGTAAACTGAATGCAGCAAAACCGAACTGACACTGTACAACTGATAAGATTACTGATAATGGAGCAAAGAAAAGTCATCCCTGCTGTGCTATCTGAATTCCTGACCCAGAGAATCTGCAAGGGTAATAAATGCTTGTTTTATATATCACTGTGTTGTTAGGGGGAATTTGCAATGCAGCCAGAGTAACTGGAAGAGCACCTATATATCTATTTCAATGTTTTAAACAATGGCAATGTACAGTACTATAGTATTTATGTATCACATGAGTATTTAGTGATTTCCGTGTTGATAGATACTTAACTGGTTGGGTTTTTTCCTATTATAAACAAGGCTGAAATAAACAAGCTTCTATGTCTACTGGTGCACAAATTGTCAGTATTTCTACAAAAGCCTAGGGGAGTTTTTATAGAAACCTATAAATGAGTTAATAAATACATGTAAGATACTTAGAACAGTGCCTGGCAAACAGTAACAATTTTTTTTTTTGTTTCTTTTGAATCAGTATAAGTTGAACTTCCATATAGAAAGTCGTAGTTTTTCCTTTCCATCTTTAGTGAGAAGGACCCTCGCGATTGTATCTAACAGCAGCTATGGCCAGTGCATACTACTGTTTACAGTTTACATTATGGCAAACACTTGCAAACATAGTCATAGAATTACATTCCTGAAAACGTCCACCTGCTGCACACCTGACCCGCTGTATCAATCTCTTGTTTAAAAAAGTTAATTTGCTCCGTATGCTGGTGAGTTACACTACCTGCGTTCCTCTTAGGCCAGGTCTGCTGAAAATCATCAGTTGTGAACCCCAGCGGAAAGAGCTCTCGGCAGTGCTATCCCTTCTGCACCCCCGTAGGCGGACTGTTCCACGGGGAAGGGGGAGGAGCTTCAGGTCGCTTTTCTGGTTCTATTTCAATTCATAAGTTTAGTAATCTGCTTTTTAAAAAGTTTTTAAAATTAAACTTATTGGGTTTACACTGGTTAATAAGATTATATAGATTTCAAGTGTGTATTTCTATGGTACATGATCTGTATATTGCATTGGACTGTGCTTTTTTAGTCGCTGTCACTGTCTTCCACCCTAACTCTCCCCCACGCTTGCTTTCAGCAGCCCAACACCTGTTAATCACGTTTACCTCCAATTTTCCTGGGCGGGGTGAAGGGGGGTATCCTTAAAAAGGAAGAGGAGTAGCTGTCCACCTTCTCTAGTGTTAAAGGGGCAAAGTCTAGTTAAACTTAAGTGACATTTTAACTTCCTCTTCTTTTCCATTTTCTCCCCTGATTTGCTCCAGTTTAAGAGACTCGGGTAACCGCCCCCCGCCCCCCAACCCTTCGCCCTCGGGCAAACGTTAAAAGAGATACAACTGAGCAAAAACATTTTTAGGAGTCTTGTAAATGGGATCGACAGGCCTGGAGACGGCGGGCTTCGCGGCAGCTCCGTGGCGGCGGCTGGCTTGCAACGGAGAGCGCCCGTCCCGCCCATCTCTCTGCGGCTCCGCGCCGCGAGCTCCGAGGAACTCCAAAGCCGGAGAGAGTAGGTTGGAAGCAAGTTACTCCAGAGCCTTCAGCAACTTCTCCTCCCCTTTGCCCCACTCGTAGCACGCACCTCCCCCGAAGCCGGCAGGAGACACCTTCGGCCCCGCCCCTGCACAGGTCACCTCCCTCCACGCCCCTTTCCTTTGGCCCGGGCAGCCGGCAGGCAGGGAAGTGTCGTAAAGCCAGGCCCAGGAAACTTTACCCGGGGTAACAGACGAGGCGCTTTACGGCGACGGCGGCTGAGTGTGAGCCTTGGCGGTGGAGGCGGCCGCGGCGGTGAAGGAGGCGGCGGCAGCGGCTGAGGAAAAAGAGGAGTGGCGGCAGTGGCGGCGGGGACCTGTGCCGGGTGAGCCCCACGGAGGGGACGGGGAGGGGCAGCGGTGACAGGGCTGGCGGATGGGCCCGGGCAGACGAGGACGGTGGCCGGCTGAGCAGCTGGGCGGCGCTGAAGAGCGTGAAGGGGGTCGGGGGGAGCCACAGAATTGGGGGAACGCCTCGGTGAGGTACGATTTCTGCCTTTGTTTCCCCCACCTCTGCTGTCCCCCGCCCGCCGCCCCCTTTGCTCCGCGCTGGTCGGCCGGGTCTCATGGCCTCCGCTCTCGGTTTGTGTCGCCTCTAGGATGGCGGAGGTACCGCCTGGGCCTAGCAGCCTCCTCCCACCACCGGCACCTCCGGCCTCGGCAGTGGCTGAGCCCCGCTGTCCCTTCCCGGCGGGGGCCGCCCTCGTCTGCTGCAGCGAGGACGAGGAGGACGACGAGGAGCACGAAGGCGGCGGCGGCAGGAGCGCGGCGGGCAGCGAGGCGGCGGCGGCGGCCAAGGGGCATCCGTGCCTCCGGTGCCCTCAGCCGCCGCAGGAGCAGCTGCAGCTCAACGGACTGATCAGCCCCGAACTGCGGCACCTCCGGGCGGCCGCCTCTCTCAAGAGCAAGGTTTTAAGCGCGGCCGAGGCGGCCACGACCACGGCCACCCCTGACGGGGGCCCCAGAGCGACTGCAACAAAAGGATCCGGGGTCCACTCGGGCGAGAGCCCCCCTCACTGCCTCCCCAGTAATGCCAGAACTGCGCTCCCCAGCCCCGCAGAGGCAGCGGCGGCCCGCAATGGACTGGCGGAGGGCGCGGAGCAGGAGGAGGAGGAGGAGGAGGAAGACGAGCAGGTGCGGCTGCTGTCTTCATCCCTGAGCGCCGGCTGCAGTTTAAGAAGCCCCTCAGGCCGGGAGGTTGAGCCTGGGGAGGATCGGACGATACGTTACGTCCGATACGAATCCGAGCTACAAATGCCCGATATCATGAGACTGATCACCAAAGATCTGTCTGAACCCTACTCCATTTATACCTATAGATATTTTATCCACAACTGGCCGCAGCTATGTTTCTTGGTAAGTGGGATGGAGTGAAAAGAGGGTGAACCCAGCAGAGAGACCCAGGCCGCGCAGGGCAGGGAGCGTGAGGGCAGAGTGGCAGTGGCTCTGCGCTGCGTTTCAGATACCTGACGTGACGTGGAGTGCGTGTTCGCGCTCCTAGGTATTTAATGAAACTTCGGAAGGTGAGACCTCTTGACCTCAGTTAACTTCATACTGATGTAAATGCAACAGGCCTGTACGGCGTTGGGTGTTGGGGGTTTTGCATCCTGTTTGCATTAGCTTATAATAATGTTTAACCTCTTTAATTACCCTTCCTCATTCTCAGAGTACTTTGCAGTCATTTAATTTGAACATGATTCTGTTCGTTGCAGACCTTATTAATCTCTCAATTACAGCTATAATCAGGGAAGGGTGTATGCATAAACTTGTTTTGGTGAACATGATTGTCAGTAAACTTACTGTGGTCACATTGGAGAATTAAATCTTACAAGCGTGTTCTATCATTATAGAGATTGTTTCTTTTTACTTCCACAGGACAATTAACAGTTTGTAGCCAGCTTGCTTTCTGGTGCTTGATTGCAGAAGGCGCTATTCACACTTCTGGTGGCTGAAAAACTGAAACTTGAACAAAATACCTTTTTGCGAAGTGCAGGAAACTAAGTGTGAAATTGTTACTCAATTCCATATCCAGATACCTGTCTTTTTCCAAGTGGGTTTCTAGGGGGAAAATGTTTCCTTTTTAATTTTTTTAACTTACTGATTTATTATGTTTTGAGAAAAACTGGTCATAGATATGCCTAAATACTAGTAGTAACACTACACTGGCTTGTGTGAAGTATAATTGGCAAAAATTTTTATGTGTGTGTAAGTCAAAAAAAACCTGGCTACAAATAAGCTGAACAAGTTTTTAAAACTTTACACGGTAGCTTCTTTCCATTTATATTTACCAATTTCATTCTGTTTGAAACCTTTTACTTAAATATTAACTGCAGATACATGCTTTGTATCATGTGCTCACAAACATGTTGTTTCCTTTGAATTTTACTGAAAGGCAACATGCTTTTAAGGAGGATTTTTATGATATGTAAAGGGAAAAGCCACTGCCACTGTTTATTGTTTCAGCATCGATTTAGTTGCACTTGGTAATTCCCTGCAAGACGTTTTAATGATACTTCAGAAATCCATCTTTTTCATTCTGTAGTTTAGTGGTAATCTGAAAATATATCCTTAGCATTGTAGTTCTACTATTTTCTGTGTTCACTTTGATAAACTTCAGTTTAGTACACTTGTTTTAATCGTGGAAACTCGTTTATATTCTATGAAACTCCTCTTAGGATTCTAACCATTGTATCAAAAAATGGGAAGATGATTTTTTGCCACTGTTACAAATGTCATATCAAATGCCATCGTAATTACTAAAAATTACAGACTTATTTACTGGTAAATTAACCCACAGAAGTGAACAGTTGAGTTACACTTTAGACTAAAATAGTATATGTGTTTCCGTTAATTTCAGAAAATAGTTGGGTATATATAGGAGTGGGCAAGAGTAGGTTTAAAGTTGTAGATATGTGAAACAGTTTATTGTTGTATTATTTATTAATTATTGTATCACTGTTCATATGAACAGGTGTAAGCCTACTTCTGCCCACCCTAGTATATAATATTTAGTAAACTTTTCAGTTCTGATAGGGCTCTCTCAACTTGTCTGCCATTTTAGACTCTGGAAAAATGAGTATTAGTAAACTTTAATTTTGATTTTATGTAGACTCTTCCCAGTTCACCAGTTATTTTGTACTTTAGCCCTTGAGAGTCAGTTTAACATAAAATTCTGAATATCTAGAAATGGAGATATGCACAAGTGGTTGACCTATATAGGTTTACTGGTGCAAATATAATCTAGTGGTATGGAACAAAACAATAGCCAGACAATCAGAGGCCATTGTAGTGCTGGGGCCTTTATATTGGCATTTTAAATTTTTGAATTTCCTATGAGAACTAATATAAGACAAATTTAAGTGTACGTGTTTATTTTAAGTCATATCATTTTAGAACTCTAAAGGACCCTAGAGATAATCTAGCTCAACTTAATTTTTTTTAATGCGAAAAAGTAAGGACCAGGGTGACTTTACAATGTTTAAATCTCTAGATATGTAGTGTAGGTAATGCTAGAACCTAAATCTCCTGGCCTCATGGAAACAAGAACCTGAAAAATGATATAACCTTGACCCATTCATTGAACATGATTGTCACCAAATTATACTTCATCAAGGGACACATTGTTCTTACCAAAATCAATCTCAGTGATGAGAAATCTCCAAACTGTCTCTGGTTTTCATGAGTAACCTGTAATGGATTAAACAGAATTAATGAGGTTGGACCTTAGAAAATTGCCAATACTTGATTATATTTGACTAAAAATTACATTTGGTTATGATTCTTCCTAATAATTGTAATATGTGAAAGAGTATTATACAAATGGGAGGCACTGTCAGTTACTGTATACTTAACTAATTTCTCACTACATCTTTTGAGTTGATGGTATTTTTAGTTGTAGGTGTGATTTTGAACTTCTTATTACCAGTGATGTATAGTGCTTCCGTTTATTTGTTCTAAGTTTAACTTTCCGGCTTCTTCTGGAAACACTTCTTTCCTATCCTATTTTTAGTGTTCTGGAATTTAGGAATCTCTAATTCACACAATTTCTATTTTTCAAGTACTATAGATTGTTAAGCCTTTTGGCCTTTAGAGTTATCTTAATTAACCTTGCTGGAATTTTTCAGTTTCCATCTGAAAAAAGAACATGTTTGATACATGAGTTCCAAATGTATGTGCAGAAACTTTTTGGAAAAATTGACGAGCAGTTTAGTGATTCTTGTAAGCGTATATTTATTAGCAGTTTATCAGGAAAAAAATAGCATTGAGCTTCCTCACTTCCAATATCCTATTAGTAATAATATGTAAAAACAACTTGGTTTTTGCTCCTACAGATTTTTAATCAGAAAGAAATCAATCTAGTCCAAAAGGGAACTAATATGCTTTGTTTGCTTTTTGCTTCCTTGGTCAAAGAACAAAGAAAATTTGAAATTTCTAATTTGAAGGAATTGTCCAGCTATATTATATCTGGTGGTTTTAAATTTTTCCTCTTTTGGATGGTTTATTAACTGTGAAGAATAGCTCTTCTATAGTTTTGTATTATAGATTTATATAGCTTTCCACTTTCTCTAGCTAATGAGGTTAGGTCCAAGTTTTTTTAATGTACTATTTGTTCTGTGACATTACACACACTGACACAAGCACATACATATTTTTGAAGCGAGTTTTCATATCAGAAAATGCTGTCGGAGTTCAAACAACTCTTGTGTATATTTCATGTCTTAATATAGAAAGAAATTTTAGTTTTCAAAAGATTTTGAAAGCACCAGATTGATTTATTATGATTGAAAATGGAAATAATTTTAGAGGTTTATTGGCTCAAAATAGGGCTGTGTGATAAAACAAATTAACTAGTGTAGATTGTTGAATTTCCTATTCCTTTAAAAGGATTTTCCTGACCTAGTTGAGGTTGAGGCTTGCATGAAATGGATTAAAATGATCTTGCCTAAAAGATTTGTCCACAGTTTTTTTTCTTTAGCCAAGGGCTTTTAATGCATTTTATAAAATGATGAACTAAAACAATCTCACAACAAATTTAAGTTAAAATAAGTAAGAAGTATAAATTGGACTCTACTTAATCATCTTTAACCCATTCCTGTTTTTTGTTGTTGAAATAATTTCTTCTGAAAAGTCAGTTTCATTAAGAAAATTTTAATTTTAATTTTAATTTTTTTAAATGAAGACTCTGCAGCAAACAAGTATTTCTCACTGACACATTATTAAACAATTGGAGTTGTTTCCTTATTTACATTTACCAGAATACCACACTACTGGAACTTTCTATCAGTGATGGAACTTTTGAAACATTTTGAGTGGTGACACTGGGGATCTTAAGGACTCTGGAGAGCTGTACATTTTCAGTAAAATAGATAGCTCTCATATTGAGTTCTAGGTAATCTGTGAGCTGTACAACAATGACTCACACTGCCAAGAGTGTCCTAAAAGTGAGACCATCATATCTCTAATCTTTGTTGTACTTCAGTAATAAAAACCCCTTGGGTAGGATCTAAGGAATACCTTAAAACAGTCATTTCTCTGAAAATTTTTTACATTTTTTTCCCTGATCAAACTACTATTTGGCTATAAATATTATGTCATATCTTTCACTAATGCTTTATTATAATTAAATTTTAAATTATTGTACTCTGCTGATAATTGTTTTCATAGTATTTTATCATTTTAACGAATAGACTTTTAAAAGAAACTATTTTTACATATTCTCCCTTTCCCAAGTCTTAAATATGTAGGTCTTTATTACAAATAATTGTAATTTTAAATCTCTTTTAAAGCTAATTATAATTAGAACCCTTTTATAAGATACTAAAATATTTGTTTATCTTGTGGAGTTCTTGCTCTCCCCCTCCTCGTGTTTTGATAATAAGCAGAAGAAACTTACGTTCTAAAGACTTGAAAGATTTTAAAACTAGAACATTTGAAGGAGCTTTGGGATTTTTGAAACTTCTCTTCTGCTAGAATTCTCATTATTTCTTCTTCCCTCAAAAATGCTGACCGCTAGTTGGTTGCTGTTTCCCTGGGTGCAGTACCTGATGGCAGTATGTTCTTCATAACTGTTTGTTTATTTTTAAGGCCATGGTAGGGGAGGAGTGTGTAGGTGCCATCGTTTGCAAGCTGGACATGCACAAAAAGATGTTCCGCAGAGGTTATATAGCGATGTTAGCTGTGGATTCCAAATACAGGAGAAATGGCATTGGTAAGAAAAATATTATGTCACTAAAAGAATGTATTAAGTTATTTTTCTTTTTTGTTTTTGAAGCAAAAGACTTCAATGTAAATATGTAGAAATGAGCATGATGCTAAGATTGTTTTTATTTCAAACTATTTCTAAAATGTTTTTATTGAATTTCTTATTGATTTAATTGTTTGAGAGATTATCTTTCTAATAAGTAGCAGGTGACCATTTTTTTGTTGTTGTTGTTGATACTATTACAGATGTCCCCCATTCCCTCCTGCCCTGTGGCCTTTACCGAATTGTCTGTGTCCACGGGCTATGCCTGTATGTTCTTTGGCTAATCTCTTCCATTCTCTCCACACCCACTCACCCCCTCCACTCAGAGATCTGTCAGTCTGTCCCATGTATCCATGCCTCTGGTCTTGTTTTGTTTGCAGGCGACCTTTTTTTTTTCTCCAAACATATTTTTTTATGTTCAAAATGTTTTTTTATATACTAAGTGCTGCAATTTTTGATAGCATTGTAAGAGCACTTATCATAGCCCTCAAGCAGCTGTCTATACTTGGGTGAAGTGGGCCTCAATGAAGACACAATTATGGAGAAATTGTTAACCATTATTTAGTACTAGTTGTCAAACACTATATATTAACAATTCAGGGAAGACCTGCAAAAAGAATTTTTTCTGTTCCCAATCATCTCTTTTGTGGGTCCTCCTTTTTTGCCAGTTTTCAGTTAATCTTACAATGGCCATTAGAGTCACCAGGGTAGTTTAAAAACAAATACTTGGGAAGCTTCCCCAGGTGACAGTGATGTAAGCCTGTCCCAGAGTTTAGGAACTACTGGCTCTTTGTTCAAGAAGGAAAATCAGGTAGATAAGCAGCTGTCTGAGTATGTCAGATTCTGGGATATACTGAAGCTAAGTTAGTATTCATGAAAGAATATTTGATGCTGTAGCAGTACTTAATTACTAGCAGTTTTGTCACTTGCAGGTTTTTTCCCCGACTGTTAGTGTTATTGTCCAGTTTAAGGCAGAATCTTAGATATCATGGGAAATTATTATGAATAGGTTTACTTACTAGATTAGGTTAAACCAACTTACAATGTTATAATTTACCACCAAGATTTTTAATGAATCAGGCCTAATATGTAAGCCAAGTTTGAGGCATTGATGCATTGAAAAGAGCTGATATGAACTCATGGCAAATGATAGGCAATTGGCTATTTCAGAGGGCAGAAGCCAGTAGCCGGAGGGCTGTATCCTAGTCCTCAGACATTTTGTTTGGCCCATATAATGCATATTTGCTCATGTTTTGAGAATTAAAATATTTCTTATAAAATGTAGATTTCTTTCTTCTCTTAAAATCACATTTGACAGTTGTTTGCCCTTTAATGTACCCAAATATATCTAACCCTAAACTAGGATATGTTTTGCTAGGCTTTTGCAGACATACCTCTGACATCATTTGGGAGTGCCAGACTTTAGTGTGCCTAGACTCATTGTAAGGTTTGTAGGAACCAACCCAGTGTTTTGTGCCTGCTTTAAGTCATAGCAGTTCTGGTGTGATGTTTGGCAAGATTGGTTCAAGGGTCATGTATTGAGTCCTGGCCAGCTCAAGAGGTTCCTGGGTTGCTCGACTGTAGCATATCTTGCTTTTTTCTTTTTTCCCTTTTCCCTTCAAACAAAATAGTACAAACTCCTGCTTGGAGCAAATGATTACACCTGAGAAAGAGGACTATGTTAGGACTGAGGTTTTTCAAGAGGAGACTTACTATGTTGCTATGTGTAGGTTCTATTGGCCTCTCATTTTAAATCTGAAGTTTTTCTCACTTTGATTTTAGATAATCTGTGTATCTGCATTCAAGGTAGAATTCAGCATTTGACATTTCTGTGCCTATTACGATATTATAATTTAGGTATCTTTAAGAAACTACTTACATTTTTCCTTCATTAATACTCAGATCTATGTTCTAGGTACTAACTTGGTTAAGAAAGCTATATATGCCATGGTTGAAGGAGACTGTGACGAGGTAAGTCTTTCTAAATGTTTAAGACCTTTTATCCTGGGCAGTATTCTACTGGGTATTTTTTATAAGTAGCCCATAATAATTGTACTGCAGGTTTTATTACAGACTATTACTATACAAATACAGCTTATAGTGAAATTATACATTATTTAAACACACATGAATTTTGACCTAGAATAAATTTTAAGATGGTATTGGGAGCTAAAATTTGTTTTGTGTCAAAATGTAAAGCTAAAATCTTAGACATTTTAAGTAAATAATTGATACTCAGAGGAATTGGTATTCAGAGGACTTATTATCAGTTATTTAAGGTAGCTCTTTTTGCAAACCTTATTGTAATTTACTTGCATTTAAGCCTTATTTTCTCTCTAAATATTTTTTTAGCTGTTGGCTGTCACCTCATATTTGAAAAACATCTCTTAGCATTAAATAATGATAATGCTTGGTGGGGGGCAAGACAACCACTTTTTAAATGTAGAGCTCTCTATATATTAACCTAAGAGCATCTCTTTTCAGCTTGTTTGTAAGGCCTGATGGCAAGTATAATTTCTTTGTATGTTGTAGCCCTGGGCTTTAAACATGGTAGATGTTCAGTAAATAATTGTAATGGTTGGGAATGTTAAAATTTACTATTGAATAATTTGGGAAAGAGTGAATTAGGGGAAGTATAGCTGTCCATATAGCAATGAAGACTGAGAAAGAACAAAGTTGCATTTTTATGTATAGTAATTTATGAGCAAAACAAGTGACAGTTGTCTTTGTTATTGGAGGGCAAGTGTGCCTTAGAAAGTTTACAATGTATTTGAAATCAGGTATTTTTTTCCCCAACAGACTGACATTAATAAGTTACTTGTCTTGGTTACTTTTTTTAAGTTGTTTCTTTTTTTTATTTGTACAAAATCTAGACACAGTCATTAACCATTTTGTGTGTGTGTGTGTACTTTGTTTTATAAAGTCTCTTTCACTGTCTTCATGCTCTTCAGCTCTTCATTCATCTTTCCACTTAAAACTACTATTAATCTTTCGATATGCATCTTCCTATTTTCTAAGCACATCTGTATGCAAATGTGTAATACTTTTTTTATAAAAATCTAATCATAGTCATTATTTGTAATACTTTTTCCATTTAACTATCTCATGAACACATTTCCATGTCAGAATATAGAGATTTACCACAGAGTATTCTCATGCTTCTTGTTCACATTAGTTTGTATTCTGACAGATCACACTAAATGGTGGTTGTGTGTGAAGGCCTACAGACATACTAAGCAGCACAGAGAAGTCCTGGGATTTAAGGATATTTAATTTTACTCCAAATAAGATAATTACACATGGTGGAGGATCTCATATTGTTCGAAGCTTTTAATATCAAAAAGTAAAAGGTACAGTGACCTTGATAATTTACATGGCTGGTAACTAAAATTTGCATACGTTTATGAGTATAAGTCTGTGTATTTGGGCCATAGCCGCACTGGCTTAAACAGTTCATCAAGAAGAATGTCAAGCTTTGCAAAATAGCATGTAACAGTTGGGAGAAACTTTGGTGTTGTGAGACCATGTTTTGGTCTCCTACTGCTACTGAGTAGAGTAGTTTCCAGTAAACAGGGATGCTATGAGCAGGGAATATTATGTTCCTTATGGTTACGCCTTTTCTGAGTTATCCTAGTTAGGTACCTGTGAGACACGCTTCACTTAACTGATCAAATATTTAAATAGTATTGGTTTTTCTCTGAAAGATGGGAGGAAGGATATGGAGATTTTGGTTATATTGTTTTAGTCTAAGGTTAAATTCTAAATTAGTAATATATTTATGGTAGAAATAGCCTTTTCATTGTGGGCCTAAAAACTTGATTCTGATCGTATTTCTTTTGAAACAGTGAATAGTACTTAGACTGAAATGGGAATGGTTTCATGAACCTATTCTGGTTGTGTGGTTTTAAATAGATGGTTTGTGCAGTGTGAATAGCTCTGCCTCTGGATTAGACTCTTTCATGCTTTAAAAAAATGTTCAGGTAAAGGATTTGCTGTATGCAGGGATGGAACTCTCATCTACTCTTTATAAGGGTTTTACTTTCCCTTTCATTGAGTTTTAAACCATAGCAACAAACTCTTCTATCCCCCCCCTTTTCTTTTAATTTTCTAAAATTTTAATTGTATTGTATTGATTATTCTATTACAGTTATCCCAATTTTCCCTTCTTTGCCCCCCTCCATCTAGCACCCCCACTCCCTCAGGCAATCTCCACACTTTTTTTGTTCATGTTCATGGGTCATGTGTGTAAGTTCTTTGGCTACTCCATTTTCTATACTGTACTTTACATCCCCATGGCTCTCCTGTGACTACCAATTTGTACTTCTTAATCCCCTCACCTCTTCACACATTCTCCCACACTACCTCCCATCTGGCAATCACCAAAAGGGTCCCCATATCCCTGATTCTGTCTCTGTTCTTCTCGTTTGCTTAGTTTGTTTTTTAGATTTAATTGTTGATAGATAGGTATTTATTGCCATTTTATTGTTCATAGTTTTGATGTTCTTTTTCATAAATAAGTGCCATTAACATTTCATGTAATAAGGTTTGGTGATGATGAACTCCTTTAGCTTTTTCTTGTCTTGGAAGCTCTTTATCTGCACTTCAGTTCTAATAAACAATATCTTTGCTGGGTAGAGCAGTCTTGGCTAAGTCCCTCCCTGCCTTTCATGACTTTGAATATTTCATGCCAATCCCTTTTAGCCTGCAAAGTTTCTTTTAGAAATCAGCTGATAGTCTTATGGGAACTCCTTTGTAGGTAACTGTTTTTCTCTCTCTGCTTTTAAGATTCTCTTACCTTTAACCTTTAGCAGTTTAATTATAATGTATTTTGGAGTGGGCCTTTCTGCATCCATCTTGTATGGGACTCTCTGTGCTTCCTAGACTTTCATGTTTATTTTCTTCACCAAATTAGGGAAGTTTTCTTTCGTTATATTTTCAGGTAGATTTCCAATTTCTTGCTCTTTATTCTTTCTGGCACTCCTATGATGTGAATGTTGGAATTCTTGAAGTTATTCCAGAGTCTGCTTGTAATACTCTTGGGGGGCAGTTTGGAGTCTTTTGTCTTCTTACTGTTCTGACTGGTTGTTTTTTTATGTTCTAAATTATCGATTTGATTTTGGGGTCCATCCACTCTACTGTTGTTTCCCTGTAAATTGTTCTTTATTTCACTTAGTGTATCATAATCATTTGTTTCTGTTGGATGATTTTTATGGTGTTAAGGTACTCAGTAAGTTCCTTGAGCATCTTTATAACCAGTGCTTTGAACTCTGCATCTGATAGATTGCTTATCTCCATTTTGTTTAGTTCTTTTTTTGGAGTTTTGATCTGTTCTTTCATCTGGGCCATGTTTCTTTGTCTCCCTGTGTTTGTTTTTATGTATTAGGTAGAGCTGCTATGATTCCCTGTCTTGACAGCATGGCCTAACATAGTAGGTGTACTATAGGGTCCAGTGTCACAGCCTCCCCTATCACCCAGGTTGGATGCTCCAGGTGCGCCCTTTGTGTGGGCCTAGGACATCCTCCTCTTGTAGTTGAACCTTGATTGCCATTGGCAGGTCAGTGGGAGGAATTTACCCAGGTAAGTCCATTTCGAAGACTGGCTGTGACCACTAACTGCCAGCCTTTGCCCTCCATGGAGGATCAGATAGGCAGGGGCAGGGGAGTGGTGCTCCAATCTGGTCTGTAGCTGTCCACTGGGTACACAGGCACTGGAGTTTCCTGTGTGGTGCAGGCCAAGGTCAGCCCCAACCTGTGTCCTGCCTGGAGCCTTCCTGCCTGAGCTTAAAGCAATCTGAGATGGCCGTTACTAGTTCGGGGCTTGGGGATTCCTGGGCAAAGTCAAGCTGTAAATATAGGCTGGCTGCTGGTGGTGCTGGGCCTGGAGCCATTTAAGAGATTTGGGGGTAGGGGATTATTGAGGCCAGCTATTATTTGTTTGATAGGGTTTAGGAAGTTGTGAAGCATGATCCAAGACCTGTCATTCATATGAAAAAGTCACGGTTAACAGTTTGGGTGGGTCTGTAGGTTGGGTGGGATGGCGCCTCAGGGAATCTCCAGAGTAGGGCGCATAGTGTTAACCAGGTTGGTGGATTCTTACATGTGTCTCCCACTGGCTCTGTGGCTGTGTGGGGAGGGGTCAGAAAAGGTACTGTGGCCTCTGCCCACTTTTCTACCTGGGCAAAAGCTGTCCCCCAGCTCTCTCTTTGATACCAGACACTTCAGTCCCTCCTTGTATGCCACTGGTGCCTTTCAAGTTGCTACCCTGGTGCTGAAGCTCAGTCTGATTAAGTCCATGTGTCAGCTCTTTAAGGCGAACAGCAGTTCTACTAACTCAGTCCCCAGTGGTTTTTGCAGCCAGAAGTTATGGGGACTTATCTTCCTGGCACTGGAACTGTGGGGTGGGACTGGCACTCCTCACTCCCAAGATAACCCTTTTGAAGTTTTATTCACCATGTAGGGATGTGGGACTGGCGGTTCTGTGTGTCTGCCCCTCCTACCTATCTTGGTGAATATGGCTTCTTGAATTTGGTAGTCAGATTTCTGTTCGACTTGATTTCTCACAGTTCTTAGTGATGGTTGTTCTATATTTAGTAGTAATTTTGATGTGGTTGTGTGTTTACCTATGCCACTATCGTGACCAGATATCTCTCCTTTTAGTTTTTTATAGTAGTGTGTTCGTTGGTTCCACTTTCTATTGCCATTTCATCTTGTTGGGTTTATTTTCTTCCTCCTGTACTCCTTTGTAACTACTTTCTAACTGATTATTTGCTTGAACTGGTAGCTTCTTGGTCCTCTGCTTACTAAAATACTTCTTGGTTTAATGTATTAGGTAGAAATTCAAATTCAAATACCAACAACCTCTTTAATTTATTTTAATCCTTCTGGACACAGTCCCTGCACCTTCTCTGATTTTCTTGACTTCCCTTTTTGTAATATAGTCAACCCCACTTATCTGCAGTTTGCTTTCCTGTTTCAGTTACCTGTGGTCAAGTGTGGTCTGAAAATATTAAATGGGAAATTTCAGAAATAAACAATTCATAAGTTTTAATTTGCCTGCAGTTCTGAGTAGCATGTTGCAATCTTGCACCGGCAGTATGCTGCTCCATTTGAACCATCCTTTGTCCACTGTATACAGGCTGTGTATTTTACCTGTCCTTTAGTCATTTACTAGCCATCTTGGTTATTAGATTGGCTGTTGCAGTATTGTTATGCTTGTATTCGAGTAGTTTTTATTTTACTTAGTAGTGGTGTCAAAGTACAAGAGCGGTATGCTGGCAATTTACATATGCCAAAGAGAAACCATAACGTGCTTCCTTTAGGTGAAAAGGTGAAGGTCTCAGTTTAAAAATTGTATGTTGAGGTTGTTAAGATCTGCAGTAAGAAAGAATCTTCTACCTGTGAAATTGCCTAATTTATAAGTGAAACTTTATCATATGTATGTATGTATGTCTGTATGTGTAAGAAAAAACATACCATATGTAGGGGAGGGGACGACCCATGGTTTCAGGCATCCACTAGGGGTCTTGGAACATATCCCCCACAGGTAAGGGAGGACTGCAGCCCTTCACCTAAGTTTTCCTGTGCAGAGTGTGTGTCTTAGCAACTAAGGAGAGCAGAGATACTTTTTTGTGTTTACTTCTGTGCTCTTAGGGTGGCATTTATGATAGAGTGTGTGGTTCTTAGAAGTACTCTGTTGAACCAGTGTTTGATGAGTGATTATTTCTTTGTTTACAGTATCTTATCTGCACCTCCTTTCTAGGAACAGCATTTGCTTTACTTATTTTCGTACATAGTAAGATGGAAAAATGTATCCTGGAGGGTTAACTAAGTTGTTAAAATACCTTTTGATAAAAGCAAAATTATATGTAAAAATAGTCTTGTATAAAATTCATCATTTTGAGGAAAACTCAGAAATTATAATTCTCTAAGAATACAATGAACAATTGTGAAACATAAACGTGATTTTACTTTCATTAATTTACACTAGCTTTCCTTTTTTTGATCCCCATACTTTTTAAAAATATTTATTTATTTTTAGAGAGAGGGGACAGGAAGGAGAAAGAGGGAGAGAAACATCAGTGTGTGGTTGCCTCTCATGTGTCCTCCACTGGGGACCTGGCCTGCAACCCAGGCATGTGCCCTGACTGGGAATCAAACCGGCAACCCTTTGCTTCACAGGCCCGTGCTCAATCCACAGAACTACACCAGCCAGGGCTTCCTTTCTTTTAAAGTGTTAAGGAATTTTGATAAATTCTCAGAACAACATTTGAGAAGGGTCTTAAATGACCTTTTCTACTACTTAGGTTGTGGTGCATTTTTTAAAAAATTATTCTTACAAAAATAGATATAAAATATATGAACCTATTAACAGATACATTTGGAAACTTTACAAAGCCCTCCCATGCACATCCAGGCAATTTTTACTTTCTATTCTATTTGCAGAATTTATGGCCTTGAGTCATGTATATATTGCTTTTGGTTGCCACTTGTCATTTTAAGATAAATTCAGAGTAAGTTAAACCAGAGTTAGTAATCATAGAGTTGAAATGTATGTATATATTTTGTGGATTAGATTTTTGCCCAAATAATAAGTGATATACTCTTCATATGTTTTTATTTTTCTTCACTGACTTTCCTAACTTTTTATATCAGAATTAGACATGTTAAAACAGCTTATTAACTAAAGATCTTTTCATTTTTTTATATATAGCTTGACTAAAAAATTACAGTATCAAAAAAAACAAGTAGATTCATTGCTACATAAATAAGAAATACATTACCCATATTGCTGATCTAGCCTAAATTTGTTTACATCCTATTCTCTAAAAGGCCTGTTGTGGCTACTAGAACAGATGTCTTGGGTTTATGTTTTACATTAGGGGAAGTAGTAAGGAAAACATATACAAATAGCATGAGTGAGTTTCTGAAATGTAATTCTTAGAGTAGTCTTATGTACCTAAAATAATGAACCCGCTTGGTGGCCATGTAATCAATCCGATGTATTTTTTATGAAATAATTTAGAATGGAGCAGGTGATTAAATAGCACGAACAGTGCTTTATTTTTTTAATCTGTATGTGTCTTTGATATCTCACCTCCGGAAATTAAAATTTTAAAACTATTTTCAGACTTAAGGTGTGATTACTATGATATTAATACTCAGTACTAATTCATATGATGAAAATACACTGGAATCAAACTTCTTAATAGAGTGGAAGTGTGCACTGTGTGACCTTAAAACATTTTTAGTTGACCAACATCTTCCATTTCCCCCTCCCCCAAGCTCCTGGCAACTACCATTCTACTCTCTGCTTCTATGAGTTTGACCATTTCAGTTTCAACATGTAAGTGAGATCATGCAGTACTTGTCTTTTTATGTCTGATGTATTTCACTTAGCATAATGTCCTCTAGGTTCACTTATGTTGACACAATGTCGGGATTTCTTTTCTTTTTTTAAGGCTAAAAAATACTCCATTGTGTATATGTGTATATATATATATACACATATATACATACTACTTTTTCTTTATCTTTTCATATCTTAATGGACATTTAAGTTGTTTTCATATCTTGACTATTGTGAATAATTCCATAAAATGGACATAAAAGCTCACATAGTGATTTCAGATTCTGATTTCAGTTCCTTTGGATGTACAAGTATATACCTAGAAGTGGGATTGCTGGATCATATGATAGTTTTATATTTAATTTTTGGAAACCTCCATACTGTTTTCCATAAAGGCTACCAGTTCACATTCCCACCAATAGTGGCCTAACTTATTTAAATAATCTATTACATGTTAACATTATCATACATCTTATGATAATGTACAAGATGACTTTTAAGGTTTCTGTGTCTAATAATTGTATGTTTAACATTTTTAGTTTAACTGGAAACACATTTTGGCTATGAGACTGAGACCGCTAGGTCAAGAACAGAGTAAAATGGGGTTATTGAATCTATAAGGATTTTGGGATGAGTTTAGCCTAACTAAAGATCTGGGTATGAGAAGTCTGGCTTCCAGATCTATCTTCTGTCACTTAGTATAGTTGTGTGATTGTAGGCAAGGCATTCAACTTTTTGTGGCCTGTCTCGTTGTCTATGCAGTATGATGGTAATTTAATGTTAAAGGGATATTATGAAGAGCAGTGAAGGTATTTTCAACAATATTAGTGTCAAGTAGCCTTTGGGATGCCAGACAGTGAGCTAGTGCTTAGGTTCCAGCAGTGAAGAAGCCTGTCCTCCCTCCAGCAGCTTCCAGGCTTTGTATTTAAAAAGCTTTTCTAAACTGTAATGGTTTGGCTTAGTCTGACAGTGGTTTGTTGCTAAGAGAATTCGTGGAACTTCACTGTAATCCTTTTTTTTCCTGTTAAGTAGAATTCAACTTTGCCAAGTTTCTTTAGAACCAAAATAACCTCATTATCCATTGGCTTCCTATGTAATACTCTTGTGATGTGGACTAAAAGAATAGTTTTATAGTGAATTTCCAGTATAAACCCACATCCTCTTTTAATATAAGGATATAAGTGAGTTAGTATTAAAAAGTAGTTATGTTTTTCTGGCATTTTCTATTATGTCAAATAATAGATGAACTCTTTGTTTAGAAAATGTGAATGTGTCAAGAGAATCTTCATTTTAACTAAGGTTAGCCCTTTGTGTAATCTTTTTCTGTGTAATTTAAAACCTTTGTGTATTTTATGTAGTCATGGTTAGCTGCAGATGTTGTGAATATTTTATATTGCCAAATATTAATGAACATGGACTTAGATCTCCTTTATAATTTCTTAAGTAGGTGAGAGCTCCCATTTGCTGCATTGTTTTTACTTTGGAAAGTAATCAGGAGGAGACATAGAAGAGTGGACATTATTAAGCTCTAGTTCAGATTTAAAGACTGGCCCTGAGCTTCATTTATTTGTAAATTGGAGATAATATTTATTTATAGGGTTATTGTGAAAATAACTGACAAATGCATGTATAATGACATAATACATGTAAAATGCTTTACATAGCACTTAGTAACCCTTTAATAAATATTACCTAATTAAAAAAAAATCCTGTTACTCCTTTTAACTTCTTTGAAATCAGTTCCATGTTTTGTGCTGTTGTAGCTTTGTTGTTTCTCATATTAATTGCTTTGATTTAACATTTTAGCTGTAAGTAGGTGCTGGCCTAAAACAATTCTAGAGAGTAACCAGGAGAATTATTTAGAATTGTATTGACCAGACTGGAGTGTTGGACAGCATACATTACTGAAAATTAAATTCTGTTTTTTGAGAGCAGAGAGAAATTGTGGACTTTTTACTTACCTTAAACCAGTGTGTTTGCTCTACAACTTTTTATTGCACGCCTTCTTAGGAACATTTTCTCTTGATCCTGCACTATTAATTACTTGTTCTTAGATTTTTTTAAAGTTTGTATTTGGCATGTGATTACTTATGTAATATGAAAGGTGCTAAGAACATATATGTTACAATGAACAAATGTTTCAGAGATTTCTGTGTGTCAGGCAGTATGTTAAGTGCAGAGGAAGAAGCTATGAAGGAAGTACCTGTGATCAACTGCCCTTGCTGGGCTCTCCCACTAGGAGATATGACGTAGTCCTTAAATATTAGATGAGAGCAGTTGAATAAGGAGTAGTGCGGAGTGCCATGACATTATATAAAAGGAAAGGGACGTAACTCCACTCAGTCTGGAAGTGACAAGCTAAGACTGAAAGCAAGGAGGATAGGAAGAGCATTCTTTTTATACAGAGTATATGAAAGGTGTAAGGTAGGAAAGATCTGGGTGGATTCCAGAAACTGAAAGTTTAGTGTTGATAGTGGAAAACAAAGGGAGAGATGTAAAGGTGGCAACGTAAATAGAGGCCAAATTTTGTTTGGCCTTTTAGGTCTCTTTAGATGGGGTGTCAAACTCACTTTCACTGGGGGCCACATCAGTTTTCCCAGTTGCCTTCCAAGGGCCAAAATGTAACTTTAGGACTGTATAGATGTAACTACTCCTTAACAGTTAAGCGAGAGTTCAGCGCTGCCACCAGATAGAAACAAGGTGCCAGGCCCGATAAAACAAGGTGGAGGGATGGATTCAGCTCTCAGGCCTTGTGTTTGCCACCTGTGCTTTAATTTTTACTTATGGACTTTATCTTGGCGACAAGCAGGGAGTTAACAAGAGCATTGATCACACTACTTAGAGAGAATAGAAGACTTTTTGAGTTAGGAGGCTCTTGTACTTAAAGTTGAGGGCAGTTTGTACTAGAGTGTGGTATCAATGGGGATAGAAAGAAGAGGATCAATTTGGGAGAGATTTGGGAGAAAATTGAAAATACTCAGTGCTTGTATGTATGTATGTATGTATGTATGTGGGTGGACAGGAAAGAGGTTCCAAGATGACTCCCAGGCTTCAGGTTTGAGACATTGGTGGGGTGGATATCTTATTACTGATGTGGGATGATAGAGGAGGAATTGACCATGAGTTCAATTTTGTATATGATGAGTCGAGGTACAGTCTTTTCTGTGTGATTTGCATCTTTTGGTTGAATTCTAGCTTGAGTTGGAATAGGAAGAGATTCAAAGGCCTCAGTTGGGCCTCTGTTTATGTTTTGCCCTTTTTTATTCAACTTCAAACATCTGAGGATTATGACATTCATACAGTAATTGGATCACTGTTGATAATTCTCAATGAGGTAGGTTTAGAATCAATAGAAAAGCAAATAGAGCTATGAATATGAAAGGGTGGTGGGATAAATGATGTTTGGGTAGAGGAGGATAAAATAAATTAAGGAAAGAAAATCATAATATTCAAAAGTATCAGTTCTACATTTTCAGGTCCTTTGCTTCAGTAATACTAAAA